ATTTTTTCCCCTTATTCTGCTTACTTTGGGCTTGATTTTCTCTGCTTTTTCTAGTTTCTTAAGTCAGAAGCTGATAAAGGGTATCTACAAAAAAAAACTTACATTTAACATAATAAATAATGATAAAAGACTGAATGCTTTCCCCCTACGATCAGGAACAACTATTCTACAACATAATGGAGATCGAATGGAATAAAGCAAGAAAAAGAAATAAAAGGCACACATATTGGGAAAAAAGAAATAAACCTGTCTTTATTTGCAGAAGACATAATTTTCTATGTAGAAAATCCTAAGGAATATATCAAAAAAAAGACTAAACAATGACTTTAGCAAGATTGCAGGATACAAGATCAATATAAAAAATATCAATTATAATTCTATATACTAGTAGTGAACAATTTGAAATTGAAATTGAAAAGCAAAATTATTTAAAATGGCATCAAAAACCATGAAATGTTTTGGGGGCCAGCCCGGTGGCGTAGTGGTAAAGCTTGTGCTCTTCAGCGGCCCAGGGTTTGCAGGTTCAGATCCAGGGCTCAGACCTACACACCACTCATCAAGCCATGCTGTGATGGCATCCCACATACAAAATAGAGGAAGATTGGCACAGATGTTAGCTCAGTGACAATCTTCCTTGCCAAAAAAAAAAACATGAAATGTTTAGGGCTAAATCTAACAAAATAGTGCAAAAGCTGTACACTGAAAGCTATAAAACAGTGCTAAGAAAAATTAAAGAATTAAATAAAATGTACTGAGTTCACAGATCAGAATAGTCAATATTGTTAGGATACCAATTCTTGCCAAATAGATCTACAGATTCAACACATTCCCAATCAATATCCCAGGGGGCTTTTTTGTAAAGATAGGCAAGCTGATTCCAAAGTTTCTGTGGAAAATAAAAAGACCTAGAATAACTTATTTCCCCACCAGCCACCAACGGAGTCCCTATATCCAAGTTTCATACTATCTTATGGTTTAGAGTGTTCCCCTAATTTAATCTATTTCTCCTGTACTCGTTGCTTAATCTATTGTACACTGAATGGTTGTACATTCTTTAAACCATATACAATCACATTTTATTAAGAGCGGTGGTTGACATAAATACATTCAGTTAAAATAACTTTCCCATCTTGATTGGCTTGTTGGGAAGAATCAAGAAATTCACATATTCTGAAATGTGTGAATTTTTTATTGAAAATTGATGAATTTTTGAAGAAATCCTTTTTCTAGAAAATAAAAGTAGGACTGTGTATTTTCTCACTCATAAGCAATGGAAGTAATGAGTGTATTGTTTTCCACATTTTTCACAGCAGCTTTTGTCACTAACGTCTGCTGCTCTTTATATGATGTTTATGTGAAGATATATACCAGTCATTGTAAACTCTATCAAAAAGAAGATGGTAGAGCGTGTGTGAACAAAAACCTTAAAATGTGAATAGCAAGACCTTATTTTTAAAGCACTACCTTTGTCATTTACTGTTATGGGCTGAATTATGTTCCCTCAAAATTCATATGTTGAAGCCCTAACCTCAATGTGACTATATTTGGAGATAGGGCCTTTAAAGAGGTAATTAAAGTTAAATGAGGTCATAAGGGTGGGGTCCAAATCCAATATGACTGGAGTCCGTATAAGCAGAGGAAAAGACACCAGGGGGTCTGGTGAGGCAAGGCCATGTAAGGACACAGCAAGAAGGTTGCCATCTTCAAGCCAAGGAGAGAGGCCTCAGGAGAAACCAAGCCTGCTGACACCTTGATCTTGGACTTCCAGCCTCCAGAACTGTGAGAAAATAAATTTCTGTGGTTTAAACCACCCAGTCTATGGTATTTTGTTATGGCAGCTCTGGCAGAATAAGACGTAGTCCATCAAGCAATTGCCTCTAGTTTTGGCTTTACCTATTTCTGTAAAATAATTAACCAAAATTCATGTCATTTGGCCTCCTCACCCTTTACATTCTGCCACCATTTGTTTGACCCAATCACCTCTCCATCTCCCGTGTATGGCATGTCTCCAAAGCCTCCTAGAAATTCAGAGTTGGTTTCTGCTGCACCTATTTCATTAGCTCATTTTGCAAGTTTCTGGGTCGATGCAGACGGTCACAAAGCCCGCTTGGCCAAGGGACAGAAATCAATAAGGAGAGAGACAGCAGGAATGACAGGGGTTGGGCTCAGAAACCTTGCCACACAGTGCGCTGGCTTTGTTGAGCTTCATGGCACAGGCCCACGTTCTGTAAACTTTTCATCTACACACAAATTGCATTTCACAGCGATACTGAAAGGGTGGGTGACTGATGCTGCATGTGGGAGGTATGTGCACAAATCCTGTTATCAGATAATAGGATTACCATGCATGCCTCCTGAGCATGCTTTGAAAGTTGACTGCTAAATCTACATATACAGCCACGGCCAGCCATTTTATTGCACAACAAATAAAATTGCTGCCAAATCATTTTTAAAGCCACTATTATTTTCCTCATTATTTCTGTCATCGTTTCTGAGCCGAGCTGCAGCAACAGCCATATCAAGGTGAACGTTTTCTTCTTTCCTCTCACATCCACACCGTCACTCCCCCACCCACCCAAGTATCACCAAATTGTCTCTTACTCTTTGTTCTGAAGCCCACGGAAATTACAGGCCTTAAGGAAACTAAGGAGAAAAATCAATAAAAAAGAAAAGGAAAAGAAAACGCCAGATATTTTAGCAACACTGATGAGGTGTCTTCTACAAAACTTAAAACCAAAAAGTTATTTTAAATGGCGATTTGCCATACCTGTTGTCATTGGCTTTGAATTAACCCTTTCACTCAGTCTTAGGTTATGGACAACACAGTGCAGGTTCAAAAATTTCATGTGTGAGACCTCTGCCCTCTTGTGGCTAGGAAGACCTCATACTGTGAGCTTCACCACTCAAGCTGAGGAAGGTGTCTGCATGGGGAGACCAGAGCCATGATCCCAGGGCTGGGGTTATGGTTGATCAAAGTCCCTGAACCAACAATCAAAATGCCTTGATCTATCACAGATTTTTCTCTCAAATGTGAATTTATTTATTTGGCGAGTATTCAACGTATACAAAATAAATCTCATTTATATATACATTTAATGAATTATTTTTGTTGTAAACTATATGAAGAGAAACACAAAATGAAATAAATTTACAATTCAATGAGTGATATATCTGTTTCAGGTAACATATGAACACTTGGCATCTAGAGTATCCTAAAATATCTAGGCTATACGATTACCTCCTGTGCAAGATGAGTCTGAGGAGAAATTGTGAAATGCATAATGTTTTATCCAGTACCAACCATAATTCCCTTTCTTGTATCCATTCAAGACCTTCCTGCGATCCTTTGACTGGACAGAGCCTCTCCTTCAGCTGCCCTCTTCCCTCCCAAGAGGGATCCTGCCTGTTCCACATTATCTCCACTCATCCTTCTTTCCCTACCTGCCCTGAATCTCATTGCCTCAGGGTTTTACTTTATGTAGTAAAAGAGGATTCCACTCCATACTCCTTAGAGGTGTCACACTGTTGTAATCATCGACGTAGGTGTGGATTCAAATAAACTTTGCAGCTCACTACCTTCTTGACCCTGGGCAAATCCAGGAATGCCCTGCCCCAGTCGTTTACCCCTCCCATAACAGCTCTCTTCAATTTTATAGTTATCATCTCCCCGCTTTACTTTGCAGTTTTACTACCCAAGTATGAATTCCTAAACCAATATAATTTAGTTTTGACTACTTTTGAACCTGAAGTAGAATATCTATAAAGTATATATATTTTTTGCATCCAGCTTCTTTCACTAAAAATTATGTACATGAACTCCATCTATATGCTTGTGTGGCTGTTTGTCCTTCATGTTTTTCTTACTGTATAGATTTTATGTTATGAATAGACTATATTTATCCCTTCTTTTGTTAACGGCTGTTTGGGTTGTTTCCAATTGGGAGCTATTTCAATTAATCCTGCTATAAATATCCTTATACATGTATCCTGGCGAACATAAGCACACATTTCTTTACAGTATATACTTAGGAGAGGAATTTCTGGATCATAGGATGTGCAAATCTACAACTTTACTGGCTAATGTCAAACAGTTTTCTGGAACGCTTGAATCCATTTACCACCTTCCACCCACCAGCAGTGTTTGAAAGTTCCTGTTGCTCCACATACTCGCCAACATTTCTTGTAGTTAGAATTTTAATTTTACCCAATCTGATGGGTATGTAGTTGTACGTCAGTGTAGTTTTATTTAGCATGATCTTGATTACTAATAAGTCTGAATGTCCTGTCATATGTTTATTGGCCATTTAGACATCCTCTTTTGTGAATTGTCTGTTCAAGTCTTTTCTATTTTTCTATTGGATTGTCTGGTTCTTTTCCTTATTGAATTGTAGTTCTCTTTATATTTGGATGTGAATCCTTTGTTAGATGTTCTGCAAGTGTTTCCTCCTCTCGGTGACTTTCCTTTTCCTTCTCTTAATGTGTCTTCTGACACGCGTAGTAAAAGTTAGCAGTTTTTTTCCTGTGCCTTATTTTAAAATATCTTTCCCTAGCCCATGAGCATAAAAATATTCTCTTAGATTATCTTCAAAAAGCTTTATTGTTTTACATTTGACATTGAGATCTACTTTCCACCTAAAATTGACTTTTGTCATGGTGTCAATTATGGATCCATTATCTTTCTTTTTTCTTTTTCTTCTTCTTCCTTTTTTTTTTGTTGAGTCATCAAATCTATAAACATGGTACATTTATTTAAGTTGCTTTTATTTTCTTTTATTAAGTTTTATAGTTTTCTTCACAAAGGTCTTACACTTTTTTTTTAGATTTATACCTACGTACATGACTTTCTATGTTATTTTGAATGGTATCTTTTATTTCCTTTTCTAAATATTGGTTGCTGGTATATAGAAATATAATTAATTTTTATATTGATTTTGTATCTACTGCTCAATTTGGTTGTAAATTCTAATAATGTATTCATAGGTTCTTTTGAATTTTGTAAGTCATAATCATATCATCTTTAAATAATGACAGTTTTGTTTCTTCCTTTCCAATCTTTATAATTCTTATTTCTTTTTCTTACCTAACTGCTCTGACGGGGACTCAGCTAAAATTTTTAATGAAAATAGTAATAGTTGGGCATCCTTGTATTTTTCCTGATCGTCTCATTTATACCCACGGAATTTTAATTTATGGAGGTGACTAAGTGATGACACAGAGAGGTTAATGCCATTGAAAGAAAAAATTATTACTTATATTTCCTGAGAGAGGGGGCCACACCCCATCACACAGGACCACGTGTGTGATCAGGAAGCAGAACAAGAAGAAGAGAAAAGCCTAGATCCAGAGCCTTTATTGGCGTTTTCACGGGAAAGGCAGGGCAGAGTAAATAGCTTAAGATTGGCTAGTTTGAATAATAAATGGTGGGTTTTGGGCTTTGGGCTTTGGGGTAGTCTCTAGCTGCCTGGTACCTGGCCCTGGGATGATTTAGGCCGGGGAACATATTGGCTTAGTGTGTGAGAGTTAGATAAAGGAAGTGGTTGGCTTGCACATGAAAGGCATGCTCCCAAGTAAGTTACTTACTAGTTTTAGGAATTAGCTGCCCTGGGAGGCCAGCCTCTCTTTGGCCAGCAAGATTTTTAAGATGGCAAAATAACATAAGATATAAAAAATATAAAACATGATTAATACACTGATCTCAAAGAGAAAGCTTCCAATATTCCATTAGTTTTCTGTTTTGTTTCAATTTAGATGTCCTTTATCCTTTATCCTTAAAATGTTCTTTTCTATTCCTAGTTTGCCAACAGTATTTTTTCCTAATTATGAACAGATGTTGAATTTTATCAAATGTTTTTTCTGAATCAATTGAAATGATTATATGACTTTCCTCGCATAATCTATCAATGTGATTATTTACATTTATTGAAATTTGATGTTAAGCTACATTTTGATTTGATTTGATTTGATTGTTTTTGGTGAGGAAGATTGTCCCTGAGTTAACATCTGTGCCAATCTTCTATTTTATGTGTGGGTCACCACCACAGCATGGCTTGATGAGTCGTGTAGATCCGTGCCCGGGATCCGAACCTACAAACCCAGGCCACTGAAGCAGAGTGTGCCGAACGTAACCAGTACACCATTGGTCCAGCCCCTAAGCTACATTTTTATTTCCCAGAATAAACCCAATTTGGTCATGATGTATCCTTTTTTATATATTGGATTTGGTTTGTTAACATTTTGTTAAAATTTTTGCAATTATATTCATAAGTGAAATTAGTCTGTATTTTTCCTGTTTTGTGTGTGCTGTCTCTATTAGATATTAGTACAAGATTATGCTAGCCTCCTGAAATTAGCTAAAAAGTGTACCTTTTTCTTCTATACCAAGAAACTGTCCATAGAATGTCGGCATTTTTTCCCTTTAATTGTTTGGTAGAACTCTCCAGTTAAGCCAATCAGGCCTAGAATTTTCCTTGCAGGATGAGCTTTAGTTAGGGACTTTATTTCCTTAATAACTATAGAGTATTTAGGTTTTTTATGTTTTCTTGTGTCAGTTTTGGTAAGTTTGCTATTTTTCTAGGATCTGAACATTTCATCTAAATTTTCAAATTTTTGGCATAAGGTTATTCGTATTACCCTCTTATAATCTTTTTATATATTGATTATTGATTATTTGTTCCTTATCTCTTATTTTCTTGTTAAGTCCCATAAGAAGTTAATCGATTTTATTAGTCTTTTCAAATAATGACATTTTGGTTGTGTTAACCTTCTATTGTGTTTCTTTTCTGTTTCATTAGGTCATGTTCTCATGCGTTTTATTTTCTGCCTTCTAAGTTCTGTGGATTCACTTTTCTGTTATTTTCTAACTTCTTGAGATTGATGTATGGCTAAGTAGTTTTCAGCCTTTTTTTCCTTCTTAATATATACATTTAAGGCAATAAATTTTCTGCTAGGTACTCATCTAACCCTATCTTAAGAGATTTAATTGGTAGCCCTTCACTACTATTCAGGTAAAAATATTTTCTAATCTCCATGGTGATCTCTTATTAGACCCATGGATTGTTTAGATGCATAATGATTAAATTCTAAACATCTGGGGATTTTTATTTGTCTTTTGTTAATGATTTCTAGCATAAGTTCACTGTTAGAGAACATACTCTGTGTGATTTCAGTACTGTTAAATTTGTTAAGACTTTCCTTACCCACTCAGTACAGTGTCAACTTTTGTAAATATTCTGTGTCACTCTGAAAAGCATGCGATATGCAACTATCACTGCAGTACTCTATATACGTCTGTTTGGTCAAATGTGTTAATCACATTATTCAAATCGTTTACATCCCTCCTGACTTTATTATCTCTTTGCTTTATCAATGAATGAAAAAGATGTATTGAAATCTTTGCTATGATGGTGAATTTGTTTCTCCTTGTAGTTCTGCCTGGGTTTGATTTATGTATGTTGATATTGTCATATTAAAAGCATGCAAATATAGAATTGCCATATCTTCCTGGTGAGTTTAACCTTTTATCATTATGAAGTAAAGCCCTTTAACTCTAGTAAGACTTTTTCCCTAAACTCTATTTTGTCTTATATTAATGTAGCTGCTCCAGTTTTAAAACAAATTGGGCAGGGGGGTTAATATTTTATTTTCTGTCTTTCTGTATCCTTATTATCTTTATCACTGAGGTATATTGCTTGAAAAAAATTCATGTATATCCAGTCATACATATGATTTTTTAACCAAAGCATTTAGTCCATTTATATTTAGTGTAATTACTGTTGTCTTTGGGATTATATTTACCATCTTACTGTGTGCTTTGTATGTGTCTACCAGCTCTGTGTTCCTTTTTCTTTCTCTCCTTTCTTGCCTTCTTGTGGACTGATTTTTTGTGTGTGTCCCATTTTCTCTATTAGTTTGAAATATATACACTCTTTTTAGATTTTTTTTTTAGTGATTACCCTAGAATTTACAAAATAGATTAAACTTATAAAGTCTAAAGTAAATTGAAAAATTATCTGTAAAAATAATTTAAGGCCAAGAGTAGGATTATAATCTTCCAGATGTTATTTTTGTTTGCTTCATTCAGGCACTTGGAGGCAGTATCAGTTAGGATCACCTTGCTTAGGATTTTCTGGGCTGCCCATATGGCTGGAAAGGTGTAGACCATACAAGATCTGACTTACTTCCAGTTCATTTTTATTGCTATCTTCCCAGTTCAAGGAGTAGAGGTAGGGGGTTATGTACAGGACACACACCCTTTGCATGCTCTGGACTCCAGTTCTGACACCCCGTAGCTCAGTTAATCTCAGCTCAGCCTCACGGCTACCTCTTCTGAATCAGCAGCAAAAGAGACCAAGTGACACATTCACGTTCTGAGCTTCCATCCTCTCCCAGATCTCAGTCCAGTAATAGTTCACTGTGTTATTTGCTCATTGATGCTTTTTAGAAAAAAATTTAATATATTCCAGTGAGCTCTTTCATTCCAATGCCTTGGAGATTCCCCCTCAGTTCTTGCCACTGAGGTTCCTAAAGCTACTTATAATCTGGTTACCTATTTAACCAGTACTCACTGAGAGCCTCCTATGTGCCTGGCCCTGTTCTAGGCTCTGGAAATTCAGCCATAAAGCCCTGCCCTCATAGAGTTGACATTCTAGTTGGGAGAGATGATGAACAAGTAAACATATCTGAATAGAGTGAAGGAGCAAACTATATAAAATGCTGGAGAAGAGTTTCTTCAGCAAGTGAAACAAGTTCAAAGGCCCTGAGGCAGGAGAGTGCTTCCTGCTTAGAATAACAGCAGGGAGAGCAGAGTACCTGGAGCAGACTGAATAAGACGAGGGGAGCAGAGATGAGGTCAAGGTAGCCAAGGCAAGATAATGGAGGACCTGTTCTAGGTGTAATGAAAACTTCTTTGTGTGTTTTGAGCAAGAAAGAGACTTCAAGTGACTTGTATTTGTATTAAATTGCTCTGGCAGCTTTATGAAAAATAGGCTGTAGATCTTTTCTCTGATTCTGATTTAACACACTCTAGTAAATTCCTTTCCCCTCCTAAATTGCTACGGTCATTAAAAAAAAAAAAAAATCCTAAGTGATGTAACTATAGAGGGGACTGCAGAGAAATGTGAGGTATTTCATTAGACTTAGTGCAAGACAGTGAAGACCCCTATTCTAGGCTGGGAGACTAATGGCCCTTGGTATGTAGGACTCAAGCCCTGCTATCAGGCTATCCTGGGTCTGGCCTCCCAAGGTGGCTGCTCCTTATCTGATATAGCCACGCCTACAGTAAGAGACCTGAGAAAAGTGCTGCAGCCTCAGCCCTAGGCTGTTCTAGGAAACAGCCACTCCCCTGAAACAATCAATGTCCTGTTTTCAACCTAGATCACCAGTCCTGATTTCTCCCTCCTTCATCCCCAGACGGAGCTTGGTGTTCTCTGCCATGCACTGCTCCAGTTGAGGTCATCTCTGTCACCTGAGATGTTCCCAGAATGGAAAGAGATCAGACAAGGACAAAACAGTTACAGATTACACAAAATAGGTAACCACTGAGTAGTAGCTGGATACCAGATCAATCTCACTGCTGCGGAGACAGCACACTAATAGACTGGTGCAAAACTTCACAGAGCAGTTGTCTGACCACTCTTGAAAAATGAAGGAGGAGTAAAGCAATTGTAGCATAAGTAGGAAGGCAAATGCTCATGGTAAAAACTCTAAATAAAATGATTTCCCATTCCTGGTTTAAGCATGTAAACAGATGTTAAATATGACATATCCCAAGAAGGGCCATGAAGTCAAAGTAGCCATTTTATTCCTATCTATGGTAGCATTTTTTTCTCTTCAGAATCCAGCTGTCCAGCTATTTCAACTATCCAGAATTCAGATAAGAAAGGTAGTAAACAGGGGCTGGCCCCGTGGCGTAGTGGTTAAGTGCACACACTCCGCTGCTGGCGGCCTGGGTTCGGATCCTGGCTGCACACCGAGGCACTGCTTGTCAGGCCATGCTATGGCAGCGTCCCATATAAAGTGGAGGAAGATGAGCACGGATGTTAGCTCAGGGCCAGTCTTCCTCAGCAAAAAGAGGAGGATTGGC